GAAGCAACCAATACAAGAGCCCAGCCAAATCTGTGCAGTGCCCCGCCTATGTTCCCAATGTCCCTCATTCTCAGAACTGCCCCATACAGCGTCTGGGACCCTGTCTCTATTCACGTCTGCATCCAGGCAATCCCCACTTCCACTTCTTCCTCCTGTCGTCTGTGTCCTTTCTCTTCTCTCTTCCACCGGCCTTGCTTAGAAGTTAATTCACTTCAGGATTCCCCTCAGATTCCCCAGAATCCTCCTGGATTTTCTCCCCACCTTCACCATGATCTGAAAATCGGCTCTACCCTATGAGCTCCTCTGGGTTATCTGGAAGCTCACCCTTCCTCACTTTGCAAAGTTTAAGACAGGGTCTTCTCCGTGTCACAGGCCGGTCTTGAACTCACAATCCTGCCGCAGCCTCTGCTGATATTACAGGCATACACTGTCAACCAAGTGACAGCGTTATACCTGGGACCTGTACATGCTGGCCTTCTTATTCTCCTGAAAGACCCTACAGACCCCCTCCTCAAAACCCACAGTTAGCATGCTCCTGGGGGAACGTCCTGTTTGCTTTAAAAAAAAATTCTCCGGATCAGCAGCCAGCCTGCTCCCGTAAGAACATCCCATGTGCCTGACAGAGCAGGAGATAGAGATTGGAAGACTGCAAGGCAAGATGTCAATAAGATAGGATATCAACAAAGCAGGTTAGCTATAAGATAGGAACAGGATGACTGTTGCCAGTCATCCATGCTGAGAGAGGAAACCATTCATGCCCCCGCCTCATTCCGGTCGACTGATAACCACGCTTTTGCTTTTGTAAGCTTGCTTTTGCTCTCCCCTATAAAAAGACCTCCCCCCAGTCTGCGGGTGCACAAGTCCTCCAAAAGACTTGCTGGCTGCAGGTACCTGTGTTTACTCAATAAACCTCTTGCTAATTGCATCCTGTGGCCTGGTCTCAGAGTGTCCTGGTTCTGGGGTCTTCATCAGAGAGGAAAGGTCCTCTCTGAGGGTCTTTCACTCCCATGTGTACATTTCTCCTGCCCTAGGAAAACCGGTTAATTCTGGCTCTACCAACACATCTAGAGTTGTTCTTTTGCTGGCCCTTGATCAAGTTTTTCTCCTGTTAGCATGCTCCTCCCAACCCCAGCTCCTTCTGTTGAATCTGACCCATTTTTCAAGACTTAGGGGGTGGGAGTACTGGTTGGCTTTAAACTCTCGGCAATTCTCCTGTCTCAACCTCCCAAGAGCTGAGATTGCAGCATGGGCTAACACACTCATCTCTCCAAGGCTCTTTACAGTGTCATGCCCTCCACAGGGATTTGCTTGGCTTTGTTAGCAAAACGCTCCCGTATCTTTTGCCACCAGAACGTTTTCTTGGTGACTCTCAGAAGCACTTGCATTTTATTTAACCCCTCAATACTGTCCTTTACCCAGAGGACTTCCGTTGGCAGGCCTCCCAGCCAGTGGCTCTCTTTGTGTTTTCAGGAAGTGAATTGCTATGGTGTGTTTCAGGAAGCAGGGCCCTTCCTTGGCATGCGCGCCTTCAGTCACAAGATTAGACTCCCCGCAAGTTGGGTTATTAGCAGTCGGGCTGGTGTCTAGGCTTCCTCGCTTCCTTGCTCTGTGAACACAGCAGAAGCGCTGCTTGCTGCCAGCCTGAGCTGTGTGAGGTCAATCTGACTGCTTTGCATTTGCTGTAGGGGCTTCCCAGCCAGGTGGGGCTTCTGGAACATTCCACCAGTTCTCATTTCTGTGAAACCCATGTCAGCCTGACCACACTGGAGCAGTCAGGCAGGTGCAGGAACCGGAATGGGAATTCAGTTCTTAATGGGACTCTCCACGGGCTGATGAGGCCCAAAGCCTCGTACCAGGGAAGTGGCAGGTTTACAGGGTGGAGAGTGGACTGTACTTACTTCAAAGTCACAAGAAATCTGTCTGGGAGCTGAAGGAAGGTGCCACTAACTTGCCAAGGGGGAATAGAGAGCTACTTAGTGGAGCAGTGAACTAGGGGTGCGGGGAGGGGTGCGGGGAGGTGGGTAATGAAAGCTCCTGCACCCGTGGCTAGAGCTGGAGTCGCCCTGAGCGTCCACCTCCCTAAGGGAGCATCAAAACAAAAGTGTCAACAAAAGCATTGATCAGGGACAATACCCCTGGCCCTAAAATGTAGTAAGTAGGGCTGATGGGACGGCTCCATAGTTGAGAGCATGTATCGCTCTTCCAGAGGACCCAAGTTTGGTCTTCAACAGTCTTTATCAGGCAGCTAGTTTAAACTGTAACTTCAGTTCCGGGGATTCTTCACTCTAGCTTCTGATGATACCTGCGCTCCTATGCAAACGCACACGGCACACAGCCATATTCATACGTACACATAGTTAAAAATAACAAAGTCTTTTAAAAAATGTAATGATGTGAAGCATTTTGTTACCCGAAGGCAGACAGAGTAATGCAGAGGGCACTGAACTCCTTTCTGCTGCTGCAGCCTAATAGGGCGCTGGGACACTTTGGAGATCTGACCCAAAGCTCCACAGCAGGGGAACAGGAAGAGGTGGGTGTGCAGGGGAGGTGGGGACTAAAGAATGTCTACCTATCCTCCACCTGCCCATCTCTGTTACCGGCCATAGAAACTATGTGGTCAGTCATGCTGGGCCAAATCACATTCAGGTCAACTGTCTGGGGACACCTACTGTGACCCAGTTCTCCCACTTTGTAAACAGAGGCCCAGAGAGAGGAAAGGTGCGCATCTGAGGTCACACAATGGAGCCGATCAGAGACTTGGGTCCCAGCTCTCAGTGGCTGCAGACAGTGGAGACATCAGAGACTCAGCCCCCAGCTCTCAGGTGGCTGCTGCATCACGGATCCTTGTACTCAACCTCCCTCTCAGTTGAGGCAAGATCCCAAATGCTGGACAGTGTCAGAAGGCTGAGGCCTATGCATTCCCCCATGGACTGACTGCAAACAGATGTGGGAGAAGAAAGGAAAAGGAAACAGCTGTAAATGTTCATACACAAACTGACCATCTGACCTCAAGGACCAAGACACAAGACAGGGTGAGAAGAAAACAAAAACAAAAGCAAAACAACAAAACAATGCCTAATTTTCTTTTTCAAATCATTTCTCATAGTTGAAAAACAGTAAGTTCCCAAACAAATAAGTTCTTTGTCATGGTTTTCGGCCTTGATGTTAAGGCAAACAAATCTTTTGGTGGGAGGGTGGCACACACCTGTAATTCCAGTATTCAGGAAGCTGAGACAAAAGGGAATGTCTCAAGCCCAGCCTGACGTATATAGTAAAACCTTGCCAAGAAAGAAAGAAGGAAAGAAAGTTCTCATTCTTTCTAAAAATAGAACTTTTATTATTGTTAAACATTGTCCTAGGGTTTCTACAGCTGAGATAAAACACCATGACCAAAAAGCAAGTTGGAGAGGAAGGGTGTTATCCTTCATGGCGCTGGTGACCTGAGACCTCAGTGGGTAAGAGACAGACAGGGAAACAGAGGAAGAGGAAAGAAAGGGGGAGAAGCAGAGACTGCCTCTTCAGAAGAACAGACGGAGAGGGAGGAGAGAAAGCATGAGATTAGCTTGCCTAGGCGGGAAGGTAGGGGGAGACTGGGGGTGAGTGGAGCTTGTCTCTTAATGGGACTGGGTACCCAGGTGACAGGAAAGGTCAGCAGAATAACAAAGGCTTCGTTTGGCTTCTATTTCCATATTGTAGTCCATCTCTGAAGGAAGTCAGGACAGGAACTACACAGGACAACAACCTGGGGGCAGGAGCTGATGCAGAGACCATGGAGGCATGCTGCTTACTGGCTTGCTCAACCTGCTTTCTTATAGAATCCAGGACCACCAACCCAGGGATGGCACCTCCCACAACAAGGTGAGCGCTCCCCTATCCACCCCTAATTAAGAAAATGCCCTACAGCAGGATCTTATGGAGGCATTTTCTCAGCTGAGGCTCCTCCTTTCAGATGGCTCTACCTTGTGTCAAGTTGACACGTGACTAACCAGCACACACAAACTTAACATTTTGAAGTTTTTTGTTTTGTTTTGTTTTTAAGTACCCAAAGCCAAAACATTCTGTAATCTCATGCCAACGACTCCTTGGTGTCTGAAGGGGGACACCATTCATCAGAAACTTGTTTATCATGTAGTTCTAGAAAAGCCAACATGGCCTAGTGGTGCAGGGCTTTCTGTTGAGCTGGAAATTGGTGTAGGGTCCATAGACAGAAGAACAGTGACACCGCTAAGCTCTGAAGCCCCCACCTTGCTCAGCAAGCCCCGGACAACAGTGCTAACCTGAGAACAGGGGGGGTTTGTGAGAGCCTCAGACCGAAGTCCTTGGTTTTGAATGAGAAAACCTCAAGAAGGGGTTAGCTTTTGTGACCAAATGACCTCAAGTGACCTTGGAGGAAAATAGCCAAACCTGAGGATGTTCTACCCTGGGGCCTTCCTCGGTTTTAGAGGAGCAGACCCAGCCACGTCACCAGACAACTCGACTTTCTGCCTCTGCCTGGCAAGAGCTCAAAGCCCACTGCATTTTGTACTTGGTGTCTCAACACGTGCTCCTGTGCCCTGCTCTCAACGTGTTCATGTTTGTCCCACTCTTAGACCACAGCCGCGACCACTGTTGTTCGGGACCCATCCTGCAGCAGCTGCTGCACACTCCATGGAGCTAAGTGTAAGCTCCCACCATTACCCTACCTCACCTTGACAACCTCCTCTCTCATCTGGACGGTGGACCCCTCCAGCTGTGGGCGGTGGACCCCTCCGGCTCTGGGCTGGGAACCATCTCTTACTATCTTTCTTCCTCATCTTATCATCTTTATGTCCCCTCTGCTTCCCCTTTTAGAATCTGTGCTCCCCACCTTGCCACTCCCATAGTGCAACAGTCTTTCGCCAGGTTCCTTGTCTGTCTTTTTCAACTCCTGCCACCCGGACAAAGACATATGCAGCATCCAGGCTCAGTCAGGGTCTCTACTGCTGTGATAAACACCATGGCCAAAAGCAACTTAGGGAGAAAAGGATTTATTTTATCTTATAGTTCATCGTGAAGTGAAATTAGGGCAGGAACTAAGGCAGATGCCATGGAGGAACATTTGACTTGCTCCCCATGGCTTGCTTGGCTTGCTTTCTTTTACAACCCAGGTCCTCAGCGGTGGCAAGGCAACAGGGAGAGCTAGGCCCTGCCACATCAGTTGCTTCAAGGCCAAGCATAGGGAGGCCTTTTGTCAATTGCAGTTTCTTCTTAGATGACCCTAGCCTGTGTCAAGTTGACAAAGCAAAACCCCAAACAACAGAGTATGCACAACCTGTGGAAATTAAACCCATTTTCAAGTCCTTGATCGCTGCCCATTTAGTGGGTACAAAAATCATCTTGTAGACAGCAACCAACCTTTAAAAGAAGCAGAATAGAGACCGGGTGGGGCAGCATAGTTGGTAGAGTACTTGCCTGGTATCCATAGGTTTGGTCCCTAGCACCACATAAAGCTCCAGGCATGTGCCTGGAATCCCAGCACTCTGGAGTAGTGGCAGGAGGATCAGAAGTTTGAATCTGTTCTTGGTTAAGGGAGCAAGTTCAAGGCCAGCCTGGACTACCTGAGACTGTCGGAAGGAAGAAAGATTGGGGCGGAATACTGGAGGGCGCCCCCTAGAGTGAGAATACTGCTTTGCGATGCTTTGGGACAGTTGTTGGGAGTCTCCAGGAAAACCATAGAATGTATAATCAAAGAACCTTAATGACCGGGGTTAAATAACCAGTGAGAACATCTAGGTGCTATCAGTGAAAGGCATCAGAGTGAGGGCTGAAGAAATGCGCATTTCTGTGCAGGCTCTGTGCACAGGACCCTGTGGTCCCCGGAGCTCTGCACAGGTCCTCGGGGAAGGAGACGGGTTTGGGGACGGTCACTGGGTGGTCTGGAGAGACGGCCAAGACACAAATCCAGAGCTGGGACTCAGTTTGCATACAAATCAAAGACAGCAATTCACTACTTGGTCAGCAAGAAAAAGCTTTTTAAAAAGAGAGAGAATCTTCTATAGACTTCCACACAGCTTCAAGGCCCAGAAGGTGTGTCTGTCAGGGCTCAGCCAGTTTGGAAACGCAGCATCTTCTACAGAGGGACCAGCAGATGTGAGGACTCCGTAGGAAGCAGAATACGGAGCTAGCTTGTCTCGAGCTGGAGAGTTCTGACTCCATCCACACCCTCAGCTTCTGTCACTGGCAGTAAAAGGTGAGCACGTTTTCCTGGTTGCCTCGGATAAGGACGACAGGAGGTCTGAGGTCCTGGGACAGGGTCTCCAGCCAGGCCATGTATAGCGAACTGGGGCACTTCCCCTTCCTTCCGATGGGCAAGGTGCTGTAGGAGGAAGGGTGGCAACAGAGGAATTACCCAGGGCTTCCCCACACAGCCCAGCCCAGACTTGCTTTCTGAACGGTTCATCAGCTTGCTGCCTGTTCATTCATTGTTCCTTCCCACTCACGTTAAGGCCCCCCTGCTGTCCTTCACCGAGGCCCTCAGAATACCTGGAGCCACAAAGCATTCCTAAGCAGACCCGTGGCCTGCACGTTCCCTATGACCCATCCAGTCCCCTCCAGCCCTTCCAACCTCAGACACAGTGATAAGCACCAAACTTGCTCCTGCCTCAGGACCTTTGCACTGGACGCTCTCGACACTTGGTAAACATGTCAACGTGCCCAGCTCTGGGTGGCTCCCTTGAATCATCCAGGTTTCTGCTTGAGGGCAGCTCCTCTGACTGACCACGCCTTTCCAGCCAATCCCCCATTTGACTGCTTTCATAGCCCTTCACGATCTTAAAGGTATCGCTAGTGGTGTTTCTTTGCTGTCTGTCTCCCCCGCTGGAAGGTGTGCTCGTCCACCTGCAGGCTGGCTCCACCTGACCTCTTCCCTCTGTGTCTGGAATCTCCCTGAGACAGCCAGGTTCAGCAGGGTGTTGCCGATTGACAGAGGCCAGCCCACCGGGTCCCGAACACCACGCCAGGCTGGCCTTTCCAGCCACACACCTTCCCAAAGCCACAGCGTGATGTGTTCATGGGCCGTGGCTACACGTCCTGGCCCCGCCCCCTGTCCCATGGAGGCTGTCAGGGCAACCCTAACACAACCTCACGGGACCCCTGATTGCACAACACCGTGCAAATAACAAGATGTCCTAGAAAGCTGTGAAGTCATGTTTGGCTGTTTACACCAGAAAGTGACTTTTCTACCATCTTAATGATTTTAAAGATATGCTGGGACTAAGTCCCAGTGCCTCCGGTTCAGCTTCTGGGAAATACAGGATCCCACAGAACCAGCTGTAGTGCATGAAGCTGGGACACCAGTGTTTATATGGGACCTGGCAATCTGACAGCCCCTCCACAGGCACGAATTCACCCGAGCTTTAGCATAGCCCGCCAGTGGACAGGGCCCCGGCAGTACCCCAGGCCGGCTGGAGCAGCCAGCCAGGCAGATTTGCACTGGGGTTCAGAGTTCAGAATCTGACCCTCTAAAAGCTGCTTGGGTGTTGGCTTTGCTGTATCCTGGGCCACGTGGCTTTGGCAAAGTGCCCGGCTGGCCCGAGCCTCAGAGTTCTCTAAAGTGACAGGTACTCCGCTTGTAGGCTGTCTGTGGGCACACACAGGGTGCAGGTGGTAGAGATGGGCCTCCAGCCAAGTCCCTAGATCTTTCTACCAGCTGCGCCTGCTTGCTACAACCTTGCATGCCCACTAAGAGCCTGTGACCATGAACTTAAAATTCAGGGCCAGAAAAATAGCAGGACAAGCTCTGCCCTATTTTAAAAAGCGAGGTCCTGAGGAGCGGGGAAGGGGCAAGCACATCATCTGTCCCACAAAGCGGCTGTCGTCTTCATCCGAGAGCGTTTGTGATAGATAGTCCATGGAAAAGGCATAGAAGAGAAGAAAGGCCAAGTTTAGGTGTCACAGGCACTCCTAAGGCCGAAGACACTGCCATCTGGGAAAGGCTGTATTATTTTTGGGAACCTAATTCACCTACTTAAAAGGCCACAGGGCACAGGGGTCTGCCAGTTGAGAGCCAGGAAACACTCATAGTTCCTACAGTAGGCAAGAAGTTCTCTCCCTCAGTGGAGCCTGTGGCCGTCCCAGGGACAGCACCTTTAACTCACTTCAGTACCGGCATGACACGCTGACTCTCACCAACAGGATACGCTCTCCTGAAACCGCTTATCTTTAGAGCAAAACTGGGAACAAAACAACTTCTGTTCAAAATTGCAGGGCAATGTTGGGTCAGCGCTAGAGTCAGAAGTGAAAGCCATGAGCAGAGCCACAGGAACAGGCTCTTAACGCAGCCGGAGGCTGCGGGGCTGGTGACTGTGCCGGCCAATGCCTGTGCCGGTGTAGCTATGCTCACACACGCGGGTGGAGCTGTGGGGGGTGCTTTGTCACGTAAGCCACTGACGTGACGAGCAGACAGCCAGGTTCTGCCTCCAACCAGCGCTAGATTAGATGGCCAGGGCACCTGGTCCCAGAGAGGGACATTGCTTGCTTGTTGTCCTTTGAATATCTGGTGACAGGGGTCCTGAGCTCCTTCTCAGCCCCCTTCTGGGAGAGACTGTACAATTGGAATTTCTAGGGTTCCCAGGTCTCACGAGGTCTACCTGACCTCAACTACACCTTGAGAAATCCAGGCTGGTCTCCAGCTTGGAGGGTTGTGACACTCACACTCACACACCCACACACAGCTTTTCTGTGCTCCCCAAGGAGTTGGCCCAAGAGCTGGGGCCCTGTGGGGTGACAGCTGCAGTTGCTGGCTAGGGTGGGGTTTGTGCAGGCGTCAAATCCAGGGTGACTGGACACACCATTGCTGCTCTTGGCTAATCCTGGATGCCAAGCCTAGCTGGAGAGAGTTTGACTTTTCCTGAAGTTTGGGGGTAGAAAGGAAAGGGAAGAAGAGGTGCTACTCAGGAAAATTTCTCATCATGGGGCCCCCGAGAGATAGGTTCATTTTGCAATCTTTTGTTGGGGGGTGGGGTGAGGCGGGTTTTGAGACAGAGTTTCTCCGTGAAACAGTCCTGACTGTCCTGGAACTCACTCTGTAGACCAGGCTAGCCCCAAACTAACAGAGATCTGCCTGCCTCTGCCCCCAGAGTGCTGGGATCAGAAGTGTGTGCCACCACTGCCCAGTTAGATTCATTTTAATAGCAAATAAACGTGGGGTCACAACCTGGTGAAAGAGAATCCTGAACCCTGCTTCAGAGGTCATTAGGGAAACCAAGGCTAGAGAGACACCAAGGTTACACATTGAGTTAACAGCGGGTCGTAACTGCAAGCTTGCTTCTTTGAAGAGACTGCAATAGGGAAGCTGTAGTGTGTCCCCTTGCACCCAGGAGAGGTCACACCCCAGGTCCCCCACCCGGTTAGATGTCTTGGAGCAGGGGATAAAGCCACCTCCACCGCCTTGCCCTCTGGCTCAAGCCACACCCTGGGCCCAACACTGCCTAGGGAACCTTCTCTGAGAGGTGTTGGTGATGAAGCAAGCCCCTTTCCTCAGCACTTTCTCAGCAGGAAAACATGATGTCTTGCAGGCCCTGGGAGGTGCTCAGACACAATGGGTGTCACCAGACCACAGAAGTGTAGTCACACAGGGCCCTATGCTCAGAGGGCATGCACTTAGCTTAAGGCCTTGGTGTCTCAGTCTTGACCCCTTTTCAATGTTGTAAGCCACACAGAAGGGCATTTCAAGGCTGAGTTTAACTTGATAACTTCCTGTGTGGGACCCCACTCATTGGCTAGCTGAGAGCTGAATACAGGGAGCCAGCCCTTGAGGAAAAGCTTGTGTAGCCCTAGCGTCCTCTGGGGTGGCCCAGGGAAGGACTGGAAACTACTTGTGATCCAATCTCTGTGCCTTGGTGCTAACTGTCTGAGATCTTGGCCACCACTCTACACAGAACAGCACAAATCACCAGGGACTCTGAATGTCTTTCTGTCCTCGGACAGATAAGAAGTGACTCGCAGGAACAAAGTCAGCAAGCCATTTGCTGTGATCTGAGTAGACAGAAACCAACTAAAATCCAGCCCCTTGGAGGGTGCTGGGCAAGAGGTTTAGGAGCTAGGGGTTTAGGGAGGTGATCAGGCCAAGAGGTTAGCACCCACTTTACAAAATGGCTCTAGATAGTTCCGACCACGTGCAGACCCAGTGACAAGGGGTCTCACAGTGACATGTGAATCTATGACCAGAAGCTGACCTTACCAAATACCAAATTTGCTAGCACTTTGAGATTAGCCCTCCCATCCTCCGGAACTATAAGATATGAACTCCTGTTGTTTGTAAGGGACCTGGACTGTGGTATTTGGTTACAGTTCTGAGTGAACGAAAGACATGATTCCTAAACCTTGGTTCAATGAGTGTCTGGAACTACAGCTGGAGTACTGTCCGAGAGACACACCCTCTGTCCCCACAGCCCTGCCTGGGTCATACTCTGGCAGATTTCCCATCACTCTGTTAGCTGCTGACCAAACCCTGTGGTAGAAATAAAACACCATTGCTTTCCACACTGAGTAACTAACTGGCTGGTGCCATCTGACCCTACGGGCCTGCAGACAAGACTGAAGGGCCAGACCCTCCAGAAGCGGGGTTCTGATGCCACGCTTATCATGATCCCACGGGGTTTGTCCTCAGCTTTCACCTGCCACCTTCTTGTTTATCTGCCAGAAGGCCTTGGCATTTTAGGTCTTTCCCTGTTTGCCATATTGAGCTTCTCAAAGGGGCACTTACATGGCCAAGGGGAACAACGCTGGTGTCTCCTGAAAAGGAAGTACCTCTCACTGAAGTAGAGACCCCATTTACTCTTGTCACCCTAAGGAACTCCTTGGTGCAGTCTCTTCTTGTGAATCCAATGTCAGCTATAGATATGACCTATGAAATCTAGGGGGCAACCAGGTTGGGAATGCACCATTTTTGAGTCTTGGGCATTCTAAACCCAATATGGTGCTGAGTTTGAGGCCTCTCTGCAGTAGGTAAACAATCCTTGCCACACCCTTACTGCTTGTCCTGGTTAGTTTTTGGTCAACCTGACACAAAGTAGAGTCAGTTTTTTGAGATCAGCGCAACTGAGAAAATGACCTCAGCAGTGACATGTTTCATATGTTCATGGCCTGTGAAGTGTTTTCTTGATTAATAATTGATATGGGAGTACCTAGGCCTCGTGAGCAGTACCATCCCCGGGTGCTGTAAGAAAGGAGAGTGAGCAAGCCGTGAAGAGCAAGCCAGTAAGCAACATTCCTCCATGGCCTCTGCTTCAGCTCCTGCCTCTAGGTTCCTGCTTTGAGTTCCTGTCTTGACCTCCCTGGATGACAGCCTATAAGCTGTAGGTTTGAAATACACGTGTTCCCCCTCAACTTGCTTTTGGTCGTGGTGTTTATCACAGCAATAGAGACGCGACTGTACTGTTCGCGTCAGCAGATACGGGCTCGCTCTCCAGAGCAGATAACACTTGCCAGGTCTGCCAGGATGTTTAGACTCATGCACACCAAGAAGGATGCTGCTGAGAGCACGTGCGCCCATCACCTGTCCATAACAATAGCCGTCTCATTATCAAGGAGGACTGACACTGGCCTTCCTCCTTGACACTCCTGCGGATAGTAAGAATAAGATCCCATGTGGCTCATATCAGAACATCCCTTGAAAAGAAGGCCACCTCTTGACATGTTCATTGTTGCTGACTACCAGAGAGGCAGAGGTAGAAGGATCCCTGGTCTGAGTTCTATCTGCATTTCAAAGCAAGATCCATATGTTAGGCTAGGGGCTTTATGTTCTCGTGTGGTGGAAGCCCCTGCAAATGACAGGTCCCATCTGAGCAGAGAGATGACTTGGTGCTCTAGCAAGCATAGGAAAAGCCTTAATAAAATCCACATTATCCTAAGCTACAGGTGCGGATGTCTTGGCTGGCCATGGCCTTGGAGAGATGAGAGTCACGTGGAGGTCCCTCCTTGCCACTGTCCCCGTTTACCGGCTCTGCCCTGGCTAACATTGGAGGGCAACATGGACTGGGTGGGGGTTCAGGGGGAACAGTGCTGCTGGAGCAGCCTCTGCTCCTGCTGTCCAGAATGGACACTCAAATCATTGAGGAATGGCAAATAGCCAGTGAGGGCAATTTCCAAACTAGGAGACACACTGGCTTCTGGGAGGAGCTGCCTCCGTTTGTCAAGCCTGTTTGGCATGAAAAAGAGTAAACAAGGGACAGCAAGGAAGATCGACACTGCCTGGGACACGTGAGACCTGTGACCTGCCAGCTGACACTCATTGGACTGGCCATGTTTTCTGAGCACCCACCAAGCTGAATTAGAGCTGCAGCCCACATCCCAACAGGCAAGCCAGACGTGACTTACAGGAGGATCAGCGCAGCATCCCGAGAGTAGTCCAGCAGAATCTCATTCAGCCTCACCTGCCGAAGGGACTGGGGCCAAGGAAATCAAGGTCACTTCCTACCTCCTCAACAGCACCCCACTCCCAGCTTGTCTGGAGGTAGAATTATGCCCCTAGACAATTCCTGACTCCTCAGCCCCAGGAGAGCCTCTCTGAGCTTCAGAGTACCACTCTTTGAAATAGATATGATCTTATCCTCCTCAGGGGATATGGACAAGATCAGATGAGCTAACTCTTGGCTCAGTGCTGGGCATACAGAAGACCCACTGGGAAATTATTTGGAGCAGGGGCAGGCTCCCCGTGGCAGACTTTGAGAAGGCTTTCTTTAGACACTTTGCTTGTTCAGTACTTTGTAAAGAGCCAGCTGATTCCAGGCTGGGAACATCTCCAAAGTCCCCAGGTGTGGGGTGCTGGCTGGGGGACACACCTTAACCCATGGCTGTCTCAAGTCCCTCAGAAATGAAGTCAACTCCTGGGACCTAAAAGTGGATGGATACTCAGTGTAGGGAAAGGAACTCAAGGCAAGTGAGCTAGCCAAGTCTGGGACTTTCACCGTCTCACTGTGGACATCATGGATGCCCAGTTTTTGTTGTGAGGGCTGCCCTGTGTGTTGTAGGACATTTATCAGTTCCCCTGGTGTCTATGTAATATGAAATATCTGCCACATACATCCCTTGAGATGTGACTCCCCCCAAAATATCTCTAGATGATTGACAAATGTCCCTACCTGGGGAAGAGTGACAAATGGCCCCGGTTCAGGGCCCCTGACTTGAACTACTGGGATACTAAGTAAGGTCTGCCCCTGGGTGCCTGGTCCTCCCATTTATTCATTCTACCTAAAAATGTCACTGTAGCCAATGTCAAAACAGCCTCCTCCCAGCCATACACACAGATCTGGAAGAAGGACCCCAACCCGCCAGTGGCCAGCACCGTTTACATGGCAGGAGGCCAGTCTACCCCATCAAAGGCAACATGAGGCTCCACAATGTCGTGGCTCAGTCCTGTCACGTGACCCAAGGACATTTCAGGCATTGGGAAGGGAAAGAAGGGTGGGGCCTAGTGGGAAATCCAAAGCTCAGGACAGGGACACACAGCTGGGACCCCAGGCCCTGGTGAGTCCCTTCCCTGTCTTGCACCTTAATTCTGTTCTTGTTGATCTCCTCATCTGAGATCTTCCAGGGACAGTCCCTCCTCATCTCGGCAACAGTGGCCTCATCCTTGAAACCATCATTCAGGCGGAAGGGTGCAATCATGTCCTCGAACCTCTTGGTGCTGGGAAAGAAAGTACAGGTAAGGCTGGGTGACATGGCCTTGTCTCCAGGGGACAGGAACTTGGAGGGAGCACAAGGTAGGAATATCACCCACAGGACATACTCCTCAGACCAGACCTATCCAACTCTGTCATTTTATTAAATGACTTACATGTGACCTCAACTCTTGACAGTTAGGTCTGGCATTCGTCAGATTTTCGTATGTCCTCCACTGACCTGGTCCCTCCCCCAGTACTACTAGCTACCCCAATGTCAACAAGAAAGACTGGACCCCATCCTCATTGAATTTCTGATCAGCTGGGCGATAGTAGGCAAATAAATCCAAATAAGCAGGTATCTGAGGAAGATAAGCCCCGAGTCCTCCGATAGGGAATAGCAGGTACGGAAGGCCTCTCTGCTAGCTGAAGGAAATAGGTCCTTCTGAAGCCAGCTGTGTATACAAGGCAGAAGGTGCTGGGTGGAGAAACAGTTGAATGTGCAAAGGTCCTTCATGAGTCACAGTGTGAAAAGCAGCACAGGAGCCAGAGGGCTGGAAGAAGGGAGAAGCAAGCAGAGGAATCTACAGGGCCCATGCTGGCCTTTCTGTCACACGGAACTCACTGCTCAGCCTGAGGCTTCTGATTGATGTCGGGAAGGATGTGAACTTCATGAAATCCCAGTCTGAACTTGCTCAAAAGAGAAATGATCCTGGAAGAGAGACAGAGAACTTAAAAGACAGTATCCATCCATTCTGGTGTTCCTCACGCACCTGACGATGGGTAGCGTCGAACAGAACAGATGTGGCTAGCACAGGAGGCAAGGCGGCCAGGGAGCGAGAACCATGCGTGGAGAAAGTCAGAGAGTGGCAAGCACTGTGGAAAAACATTTGACCAGGATTTTCTAAGGGTCTGCTGGTCAGGAAGAGTCTGGGATGCTGCTAGGTCTGGGATCACACTTGGAGAAGTGGAAGATGGAGAGAGAAACTGAAGAGAGGTGGAAGACAAAGACAGCAACACACAAGAGCTAGGAAGGAAACCAGAAAGCTGCATGCTAGATGGTACCAAATCAGCATCTAAAGGAGAAGCCCACTGTGGTCTATGCAGTCGGGAAAGACTTCACATCTAGTTGGCTGGTACATGGTGAAGAAAGTATTATAGGCCCAAGGAGCTGGAACAGGGCAACGTCCACATTGGAATCACCCAAGGATCTTGCAGAACATACCTACGGGTCCCCAGCCCAGTGCTGGGTCAGAGCCCCTAGGCAAAGCATGGGCGATGCCCCCAGGATGGGATGTGCCCGCTGAGCTGAGGCCTGCTGGACTCACCAGAGGAGGAAGTCCGTGAGCAAAGGTGGAAGATGAAATGACTGGGGATGCACAGAGCATCCTAGGAAGTAGGAGCTGACCGGTCCAGGCTGGGGCCCCTGTGCCAAGACCCCTGATGGCTCTTGAACTTAGGAGTGAGACAAAAAATTTTTTCTAAGATTTATTTTTTATTTACATGTATGTGTGTGTGCTTCTGTGTTTGTAATGCCATGTGTGTAAGGATGTCCAAGAAGGCCAGAAGATGTCACATCCCCTGGAGCTAAACTTATAGGCAGTGTGCGTTGCCCGTGTGGGTACCGGGACTCTGACTTTGGTACTGTACAAAGTCAGGAAGTACTATAAATGGCTGAGCCATCTCTCCAGCCCCCTCAGTCCACTAGGCCTTTTTCATTTGTTTGTTTGGTTGGTTGGTTTGGATTGTTTTTGTTTGGTTTGTTTTTTGAGACAGGGTTGTTTTGCTAGCCCTGGTTGTCCTAGAACCGGCTATGTAGACCAGGTTGGCTTCAAACCCAGATATCCACCTGTCTCTGCCTCCCAAGTGCTGGAATTAAAGGCGTGCTCAACTTGGCTTGGTTTTTTTGAAACCAAGTCTCCTGTCGGTCAGCCTGGCCTCCAACTCACTATATAGCTAAGGGAGACCTCGAACTTCTGACTCCCCTGCCTCTGCCTCCCCAGCACTGACGATCACACTCTACGTATGCAGTGTTGAGTACTACACTCACGGCTTCACGCACACTCGGCAGACATAACCAACCGAGCCACATTCCCAGAAGTAGGGTTTGAAAAGTAGAACTGTGGTGGCCTCATCCTGGAACACGTCAGGGGCCCAGGCCTGGGCATAGAGACAGCAGATTGCCTAGGCCCACTAAGTGGCAGTTGGAACAGAAGGGATTTTTTTTTTTTTTTTTTTATAACTGCTGTAAGAGCCACAGGCTGTTACCTGAGGGAACCACCCTGAGCTGAGCCAACCTCACGTTACCCAGCTGCCACCCAGAGCTGGGACAGGAAGCAAAGGCTTCCCAGAGCCTTCTGGTCTGTTTACTCTCGAAGCGTTCTGAAAGCCAGGTGCTGCTGTCCTCACCACTGCCCTTGGCCTTGCCAAAGAAAGACCTTTTGTTAGTGTAAGTTCTCACCGCCTGTGGGGGGAGAAGGGTGTGACAGGGACAATACTGCTGGGTCTCCCAAACTCAGAGGGTGACTAGAAGAAAGGAGAAAGGTGGAGCCCTGGTAGGAGGAGCCATGCGGGTCAGGGGCCGCCTCCCGTCCTGTCCTCAGGGCAGCACTGTCCTGGCCTAAAGCCTGCAGCAGGCTCTTTTCTTGGGGCAAACTGCCCCGATTTGTCCTAGCTGGTCTCATTTTTGACCTTTAATCTTAATTTCCCTTGTTGGAAAGTCACTGTTGCCCAGCTCCTCCTCTACAACTCCTGCCAACTGGACACCTCCACCTCTGCGACCACGCCCCCACGACCACGCCCCACGACCACGCCTCTCTGTGTACTTCTGTGTCTATTTCAGGCAAGTCACCTTCTGCCTGAGTGCTGTGATTTGCATACCGTTTCCCCCATGAACTCAGGTTAAAATTTAATCCTTGGGGTGTGTGTGTGTGTGTGTGTGTGTTGGGGTGTGTGTGTGTGTGTGTGTGTGTGTGTGTGTGTGTGTGTGTGACCATGGAAACAGAATCAGGTTCTGGTGTTTATGAGCAGAACCTTTGGGACATGTTTAGGACTGGACCTGGTCACTGGGGTTGCATCTTATGACTGAACTGCACTTTGGTGGCTTCATGAGAAAGAGGGAAACACACACACTGCCTATATCTTGGTAATGTCCTATGTCACCATAACCTCAGTTCTCTGCCAGTAAGAAGGCCATCACAAGATGCGGGCCTTAGACAGAACCTCCAGGACCATGAGCAAAATGAAACCTCTTTTCCTCAAGAGACAGAGGGGCTCGGGATGTGTGTGACAGTCATTTAAAAAGGGCTAAAAAGACACACTTCAAAAGCAAATTCTAGCTTCTAATTAAACAGAAACAACATTTGTGGCCAGGAAGAGGTAACAATGGAAACCCATATAAAAGCATCAGAGTCACCAAATTCTGGCCAGATGGCATAGTCTGCCAAGCCAGTGAGCCAGGCCTGCTCTGTTTGCTAAGACAGGACAAATGAGTTCAAGAATAAGCTAGCCTTACACCAAGATCTCTGGCCAAATCAGCCAGAGACCTGAGAAGGAATTAAAATCACTTCTCACCAAGAACTTTGGTGGGGTTTTTGTTGTTAGTGTTTTGTTTTGTTTTGTTTTTTTCTGATCATTTGCTACTGCTCCTGGTCACTTAGGTTACCTCATGTCTCTCTGGGAACCTGCATCCCTGTTTGGGGGACTGTGTCAGAAAGGTTCTAAAAAAAAAAAATTAAAAAGAAAAATAAAAAAAAGAAAGGTTGTAGTCTCGCTTCACTTACCTCCATCCTGCCTCTCACATGACTCTGTCCTCGGAGAGCCTCGTGATTCCAGCACTTACCACCTGTTCCTATCATAGCGAACACCAGGGCACCTGGGTCATCGTAGGGGGAGACAGGAAGCCAGCACTTTGGAAAGGGAGAGAGCTCCTGCCTGAGTTCCGGGCACCATTGCTATGGGCTGGAGAGAGCTGGCCTGGGCTTTGGGACAATCTCAGGACCACCCAGGGACACAGGTGGTTACAGGGACAGGGAGTCAGGCAGCTTCAGGGAGTCAAGATGGCAGGCCCGTACAGTCCCATGGTCCCCACTTACGCCTTTCTCTCTTCGTCCATCCTGTTGATCTGGCCCCCAACAAACACCCGGATCTTGCATTTGCCCCATCTCCTCTTGCGGTGCAGGAGATAGGGGATAAGGAGGGTGAGGCCTGGCAGGGACAATCCCAGGAGGCAAGAGGGACAGACTCAGGACAGAGCCCTCTGTCTGTTTCCACCCCAGACTGCCACAGCAAAACCCTCCCTCAGGACCTTAGCTGAGGAGGAACTCACAGACTAAACTGGCTTTGGTGCTCTTTGGTGCTCAGTGGGCTGTGGTTTATTTGGCTAATGCAGGAGTTTGGGCTTTTTCTTTGCTTTTTTTTTTTTTTTGCCCTGGCTGTCCTGGAACTCACTCTGTAGACCAGGCTGGCCTTGAACTCAGATCTGCCTGCCTCTGTCTCCCAGTCATTTGGCCCTTTTGAGACAAGGTATTATTATGTAGCTGAGTCCAACTTTGAACTCCTGATCCTCCTGTCTCTACCTCCTGAGTGCTTGGATTGTAGGTATGTGACACCATGCTCCCAGGCAATGAGGTGGTTTTAAACAAGCAAACTGGCACTGAGCACTTGGCATGAGAGGTGGGGGTGGGGAGGTTGCACGTGACCATCAGATCAGGATGGTCCTCACTTACTTCCTGAAAACTGAACAGCTGACCAATGTGTACGAGCCATCTGACCCTGTCATTTCTCCACACCCGATCAAGGCCCTCCACCGTGAGATCAGTGTATGCTCCTCTGTGCCTCAGTTTCCTTTTTTCAGAGAGAAAGACTGCATTGGGCTAGCCCACAAGAGCACTTGCTGCCAGGCACGGATTCACACAGTCCAGCCTGCACAGGTATCAGTGAGCTACACAGTTACTCCTGGATATCCACAGGGGACTTGGCTCCAGGACATACCTGCAGGGGCTACACTCCTTCTCCAGTAAGGTGTGGGATCTGTGTGGAGCCTACACAGGGCCTTGCATTTCCCTTAGGTCATTCCCTGTCACACCTGCCACAGGGCATGTACCATGAAAATTGTTCCTGGGTTTTATTGTGGAGGAAATGGTGCCAGGAAAATTAGTTTATATATGATTGATACAGACTGGTTTTTTTTTTTCTTTCAGTATCTTGATCTACAGCAGGACGGGACTGATGTGGAACCCACAAACACAGATGACTGATATATTCAGTTAGGGCAGGGCTGTGGTCTCTTTCTGACTCTATTAAAGGTAGAATCATTAAAGTCTGAGATTTGTGTTCTAAGATTAGGACAGGCTAAGGCCTCTGTCCACTTTGCTGGCTTCTGGGTCCCACCAGAGACCTCAGCAAGCACAGCCTTGAAGGGCAGGTCAGAAGACCCAGAGACCCAGAGGACAGAGAGTCCCAGGGGACAGGGATAGGTCTGAGAGGACCTGACCTCCATCATCAAACAGCCAGTAGATGTCGATGGTCTTCTTGCCTTGCTCCGACTGGAAGATGGTGCTGGCCTGCTCTTCCTGTACCAATGCCTCTGGGGCTGCTGAAGAAGGGGCAGGTCTGAGCAGAGTCCACAGGCTCACTGCCAGGACCTGCCTGAAAACAGCCAGCTTTCCCAATGAGGTGGGCTGGCCATTGTCACCAAGGTGGGTGTGCAGTGGCCCGAGGCATCCTGCAGGCCTGGTCATACACCGCTAATGTCCTTTCCCATGCTTCTTAGAGTGAGCCTCTTCCAGACTCCCAGTTCCATTCTCCTGGACCCTGAGGTCGCGGGGCAACTGTTGTTTGGGAGCATGCAACCTTCTCTGCAGCAACCCTGTTCAGACCGAGCCTGCCCCTTTTTGTGCTCCTCTTCTCCCCCTCACAAAGACAGGATACCCCTGCACCTGCTGCCAGTTTCCCCCATCCCAGGTGTCCCTGAAAGAAGGGAACCGCATGCTACTCCTCTCTGTGTATGGCATTTAAACATGACTGGGCAGGGGGGAATTTGCAAGGGGTGAAACTTCAGCCCACAGCCCCAAAGCCATTACTGGGTTGGTCATCTTCAACAGGAACCCAAAACCCACAGCAACCCGACCTCAGTTTTTAGGACACCATTGTCACGAGAGACAGCCATTTACTCTTGGCCCAGTTCCCAGATGACCTGACACGAGCAACCCCACAGTCCAAGAGCACCCCGATCTTCTGAGTGGGGGGAACTGACCCATGCCAGACACAGAGAGATGGCCTAGTGCCACTGCCACTGACTCCCCTGCCCTCCTCTACTGGGTCAAACACTTAACCGCAAAAACAGGGACAGCTGGGCAGGCGCTTCTGCCTGAGGATGCTGGGGTCCTCACCCCGTGGAGCTCCCCTAACACTAAAGAAAATTCCTCTGCCCTTCCCCAGGGTAACTGGCTGCTGCCTGCTTCCCTTTGCCCTGGCTCCCGCCCTGCCCACCCCCAGGCCCGCTGTTTTGACTTCCTCTTGCTCCTCCACAAGACAGACCACAGGCTGGTGGAGGGTGCCCCTCACCCAGCCACTCTTCCCTCAGCTCCACTCTCCTCAGCAACAGGCAGGCCTGAGGCCTCTGAGCACCCAGCATCCATTTCCTCAGGACACTTTCACGTCCACCACGATAAGCATCTGCTTTGTCCTCAGAGGTAGCACCCTGGGTGGGGAGGGGCTTTGTGTGTCCCCTGCTTACAGCAGTCACAATCTAGGCTTCTGACTCTGTCACAGTGGCTGCATAAATATTTACTGTCTAGATGCTATGGGCAGGCATGTCCTTGGCTCCTGATGACAATGCCCTGCCTGCAAAGCACAGAGTCCTACTGGTGTGTCTTCTAGAAGACCTGACCTCTCTTGGTCTTCCCCACATCTAACCATCACTGATTCAGACTCTCCATATCAGGGGCAACTTCCAGATACATTCCTATTCAGAGCCCCAAGGACAGACTTGAGATCTTGAGATGGTCCAGTGCCCATGGCCTTTAAGTATTTTCCTTGAGGTGTTTCTACGTGGGCAGGCGCCTCCTCTTTGCCTTTTTCTCTCTCCGATCCTCTTTTACCCACGTGGTTATCTGAGCCTCACTGCACGCAGGAAGTTCTAGTTCCCTGTCTGTGCCTAACTGGAAGCATGACCTTGACCTGGTCACTTCCCCATTCTGGGCCTCAGTTCCATTTAGAAACCTCGGGCTCCAAAGCACCATTAAGGACTGGCTATCTACAAGTCAGTGGCCTCGCTAATTCTTCCTCGCACGGCTCAGAAGAGTCGTCGGGTTCTGACAGGGGCTGATGGGATGCAGGGTGTACTCACTGTGCGTCTGCATCACCTCGGAGATGTTGAGCCCCTCACGCATCCTCAGGACACACACGCCGTAGTTGAAGTCAAAGGCATCGCTGGAAAAGAGATGTGGAGTCAAGCCGCTGGCCCTGAGACCTGGCTCCCCATGTCTAGTGTTGGTCTGTGGGCCTCAGTTTCCCTGTGTGTGTAGTATACAGGCAGAACTGGAGAGTCATCTGTGACACTCCTGGGCCCTGCTTCATGTCACACCCGTTCCTTCCCACCAGTTGATTTTGTAAACTCTGCCGCTGTAGTGGGGCAGTAGAAGTCTAACCTCCACTTCACACAGGAAAACCTGTCCTGTGTCAGACAGTAAGGAACCGAGTAGCTAGCACTAAGACTATCTGACCGGGACTGTAAGCCAATTCTGCCCATAGGAATGGCCTCTCTCACAGGACACCACTAAGGACCCCGAGGGTCTGGCCCACCCAGCTAAGCTCCCTCATTAGACTCCTTTAGTCACACATCTCTGGACACTGGAGCAGCAAGGAGCCTGGGGACCAGATTTTCTACCCTGTGTCATAATTGGGTCAAGCAGTTGGGGTGACAGCTGAGTCACATAGTGGGTTAGCAGCAAACCCAGATGTAGGTTCCAAGGCCTCACAGCTCAGCCTTGTGTTTGGATGGTACTCTCCCTCTGTGTGGTATAGCATTGGAAAGGCAACCCAGATAGGCATTCCTCACACCTGCAAAGGAAAGAGCTGGAGGGCTGAGGCTTGGAGTCAATCCAGAAACCCTTGGGCACTGTCCTTGGGCCTAGTTCCCCACCTCAGTTCCCAGCCCGAGATCTTGAGCCAGGCAACTGTGAGAACTTCAAGGATGTTTGCTTAACAACCACCCTTCAAGCTACCCTGGGAAGCTGAGTATTCCAGCAACTCTGAACCTGCATTCTGAGGGGCACAGAGCTTTCTCCAGCTTGCCCTAGTCCCCACTGCTCCCCAGAGTCCCACACCTGGTCCACCCGACTCCTCGTGTTGCCTGCTGACTTCAGGGGAGACCTCAGTTCCACCTCAACCTTCATCAAGAGACTTGGGGGTCTACACAGCCACTACTCTGCTTCCCCAGGCCCAGGGAGCCCCAGGGGCCCGAGGCAACAGCTCCCAGACTGCACCTTCAAGCTCACTCACTGCAGGATGCCAATGTAGTCCTCCACGGTGGCTGGGTGAGCCGACTGCCAATTTTTCTTGAATCCCAGCACCAGAATGTTGGGCTTCATTCTTCCCAGCCCTGAGGCCTGTCGGGTAGGGGTGGGGAGTCAGAAGATGGAGTGGTTGGTATTCAAGCCTTGGGATCAGTAGGGGCTCTGTGCTGTGGCAAATGACCAGGGTGGGGCTCGTGTTCATCCCAGCCACCCCTACCGCCCACGCTTCAGGGGCTCAGGGTTCAGTCCATCCAGAAAGTGTGCCGAGTTAGAGGACTCTCGGGCTACCTGATCCTCTCTCTCCCTCCCTCTCTCTTTTCCTCCCTCCCCCCATGGTTGATCCTCCAGTCTCTGTCTCAGTGTGTGAGGATTATAGGAGTTCACATCCTAACAGGCTCTTTCTCCCCCTCCCACCCCACCCCACACCCCACCCAGATTCTTTAAAACATTTGGAGTGAAATCAATACAACAAATTGACCATTTTAGAGTAGGCTATGGTGGCTCATGCCTTTAACTCCCAACACTAGAGAGGCAGAGACAGGTAGATCTTTGTGAATTTGAGGCTAGCCTGGAGGTCTACATAGACAGTTCCAGTTAGCCAGGGTTACACGGTGTGACCCTGTCTCCAAAAGAAATTAATCTTTTAAAATTATACAATTCAAAACAAATAAATGCAAATCCATATATGTATATATAGATATCAAGCTGGGCATGGTATACAAGCCTCTAGTCCCAGCTACCAGGAGGCTGAGGCAGACAAGGGTTTGCTCAGTGGTAGAGCACTTGTTTAGCACTGTACTTGGTCCACAAGTACCACTACCCCATCCCCCCCACTCCCAACCCCCAAGAGCTAAGGCAGGAGGACCTTTGCCTTTGCGTGAGCCTGAGGAAACAGGCTCACCAGGAATGTGGGGCAGAAGCTCGTGTGCTCTGCATAGCAATTACTGTCTCAAGCAAAACAGAAACCCACAAAACCGAAGAAGGAGGAAGAGGAGAAACAGGAGGAGAAGGAGGAGGAGGAGGGGGAGGAGGAAGAAGAGGAAGAAGAAAAAGAAGGAGAAAGAAAGAAAGAAAAGCAAGTGTGCACTTCACTATGCCATCGTCTCTATCTACTTCTAAAATCTAAAGTGTTCTCTGAACCCCTCCTCAAAAGAGACCTCACACATTTTTGTGGGTTTTTTTTTTCATGTTGAGAGACAGTTAACACCATTGAAAAGGATGCTCAGATGCTCCACACAGAAATGTGGAGCAGTAAATCCATTGCCCAGTGGAACGTTAATCTGAGAGATGGTTACACACTGCTGTGTGGGTCCACATACCAAACGTGTCCCTTTATGGTTACACACTGCTGTGTGTTGTCCACATACGCAAACGTGTCCCTTTATGGTTTTCACTTATCCTAAATGTAAGTTATATCTGACAAATTAAACGGGAGGAAGGGTTCAAGTCACAAGGGCCTGAACTTCCAGCTACCTAGGAGGATGAAACAGCAGGATTGCAAGCCCCAACTGGCCTGGGCTGCAGAGTGAGTTCAAGACCAGCCTGGACAGGTTAGTGAGCCTTAGTCTCAAACACTATCTTTTAAGTAAAAAGGGCTCTGTGGATAGAGTTCAACGGTAGAGCTACTACCTAATAAGCACTCAGGCCCTGGACCCAATCCCAATACTGCAAAAAACTAAAACTAAACTAAATTTAACTAAAATAAAATAAAACAAACCAGAAACCGGATCTGGGTAAAGCCACAGAGTCCCCACAGGTTCCCAGGGGTCCTGGGCATTCTTGAACCTGCAGAGCTTGAGACAAGCAAGTGGGGGACTCCGGCTGCAATCACTGAAGCTTAAACTAGACTTGAGCGTCCAGCCTTGCAAGCTGCCTCTCTCTAAATAAGTCCTGTAGGAAGCCTGGCCAGGGCACCTGTATGAGAGTCTGGACCCCACTTCGGAGGTCCTCAGCAATGACGTCCGAGTAGAAGGCTTTGATCTTCCTCTTGTTCAGCCACTTGGTGTGCCCACTGGCTATGTGCTGCAGCTCAGGTACTCTCTGCTTTCGGGGTCCCTGTGGGTGAGGGACAGGTGGTATCAGGGCCTGACTCAGGCTTTCTCCTATCCTAGAGGCTCCCCTGAGATTCAGAAGCGCCTAGAGTTGTTCTTGGTTAGAGTAGGGGGCGGGGAAGGGAAAGAGGAAGGGAAACTAAAGGTAGTGACTCTTGGGTAAAGGTAAGGCCACCTCAGCTACACAATGACCTTGAACTAGCCTGGGCTTCACAAGACTATGTCCTAAAAGAGAGGCCTGGCCAGACTCTGCTGGCTCCACTTGCCCTGACAGTCCTGTCCCTTGGCAGACATTAATCCAGGTCTAGTCCCCTGTCCCCTATCTTCCCCATCCCCGTCTCACTCCCAACTCCCCACCAGGGTACCAATGTTCCTCCCAACCCTCCCCACCCCCCACCCCAAACACTCACAATGAGCACATGGCCACAGATCATCAGACTTAGGTTCTGGGTAAATGTGCTCACAAAGTCCACCAGAGCGGGGCGGAAGTTGGGGGGTCCCGTGAGCACCAGGCATTGGGGGCTAGGAAAAGAGGGGACATGGCATGAGGCATCAGGAGAGAGCCCTTAGGGCTTTCATGCTAAAGGTAGGTGCCCCTGCACTCCTGAATCCTGATGGCCCAGGGTGAGACTGTGTGCACCAGGACACACTTTCCCAGCTGTGACTCAAGGGGTCTTTCAGGTGTTTTTGACATCATGAGACTAAGTCGCCTTGTCCTTCTTGCTCAGGCCATCAGACTCGGCAGCCTACAGACTTCCTTTGCCCTGCTAAGCCCAGCGTGGCAAAAGCCGAGTAGAGATGAGTCACAAGGAAGCCATTGTTGACCAACTCACTGTACCTTGGCCAGAAGCCTGAACCTTTGTGTTGAGAGGCAACACAGGCCTGCCATTAAGCAGCCCTGCCAATCACAGCCAGACTCGATGGTTCATTTACCAGCTGGGCAAACAGGGATAGTTAACATCTCCAAACTTCGTTTGTCCTTGCCTGTGTCTGAGGTCTCAGGGGTTTGTCATGAGTGTCTGGGTCACAGTAGGTACCGCATGAATAAATATGATTATATTACGGTCAAGTGGGAGGAAGATGGAAGGTGAACAACCCCCGTTGCCATTGGGAACCAGCTCTGGATAACCAAGCTGATCACTCCTGGCATCCCAGGATTGTGTCCTGGGAATTGCACCAAGTGACCCTGACGGCAGAGCGGCTTCCGCTGTGGAAATGGAGACACGAGGACCTCTTCCTTGCTTTGTCCCTGTCAGGCAATGTCAAGCCTAGCCATCCAGTGGTCATCAGCTCTTCTACCTCGGGGCTCCTACCATCCTGGATCTACCAGAGCAGAGGAACACGGCTAGGTCCCGCCTCCCAGGAGGCCCAGAAACCTCGCTCACCGGTAGTTTTTGATGTGGTCCTCCACCTCATTGAGGCCCATGTTGTAGCTCAGGGCGAGGTTGTAGGAGTGAGCCTGCACCGAGGAGCCCCAGTTCACCTCTGAGGGCAGAAAGGAGACAGCAAGACTCAAAACTGCAGGAAGCAGCCAGCCAGATGGGGGACCAGGGAATGTCTACCTTTCTTAGGCCCAGAGCACATTGGGAGCAAGGCCACAGACAGCTGGGCAGCTGGCAGCTCTATCTATTACATGCAGGTCTAAAGCCAAGTGCCACATGTGGTCCCCTGGTTCAAGGTTGTAGCAAAGTCTTAAACTCCCACTCAAAAACAGCCAGAAGGCCAGGCTCAGATGTAGAGTTCTAGGGTTATCTCCCTCAGACTGAAGTCAGCTACATGCAGGTAGACCATCTTTCTCAGTGCCCACCCTCACACAGCCACCCTTGGCCACCCTGGCCTGGATGGATACACTAGCAGGTAGCCCCTCTAGGAATCTGACAGGGGTCTGGCCCCGAGTGGGCATGTTCCTTTGAGTCCCTGGCTCAGGAAGGCTCAGGTGGAGGCCAGCCTGAGTCCCATTTAAGGGCAAGGCTCCAGATGGGATGAGGGACTGGCTTTGCTGCACGGTTGCCCAGGTGGGGAGCTGAGCCCCCGGGGAACCACGGCCACACACCTGGCTTCTTGTAGATCACGTAGAGCAGAAGGAAGAGGACAACTCCGATGGCAATGAGAGCCGCCCACCAGGTAAGAAGGAACATGATGACCACTGAGATCACTGCCCCGAATAGCGCTGCCCACTTGCTGTAGTATTGGAAGGAGGGTCTCCATCCTGGGCAGGGGTAAGGTCAGTGCATCTGCCCGTGCTCAGGGCCTTCTTCTTCCCCGAGCTGCTGCCACACCCATGCTGCCGTCCTGGCCTATACCCACTAGCCGGGAATTCCTAGGGCCCCACCAGCCTTGGCTCCAGGGGTGGGCTAGGGAGGCTCCAGGGTCTGGCCTGTAGGGCATTTGTTTCACCATGGTGGCAAGCTATATCAGGAAGGGAACATCTGGCCCTGGCCAAACATAGCCCCAACGTCAGCAACAGTGCCACCTCCCAAAGGTTCTGTGGAGCCCAGGGAATTAAAAAGATGGAGGGAGACTTGAGTCCGCCTGACTTTGTGCCAGGTTAGGGCCACTGCTAGTGAGCACTGTACCATGGCACATGTCTGAGTGTGCCGGGCACACTGCGGTCTGTATGGAAAGTGTTGGAATAATAGGCCCGTTGAAGATCTGGGAGTCACTAGCCAAACTCTTCCTCCACGCTCTTTACTGCCATCTGCTAGAAGGCTTTAGCAACAGCCCGGAAATCTGTGAAATTTAATGGTTACGGTCTAAACAGCGCCCCCTAGCCCCCTAGAGGTGAGCCGTGAACAAATGGCTGCACCTTCTGGGACTGGGAAATTCTTCCCTTTCTGGGGAATCAGGCTTCTGACTCGGAAGAAACTGGCGAAGAGTGGAACTAAAAAAATTTCCGGGGCCTGTAAAGGATGCACTGTGTTCGGCAAAGGATGGCTGGCTTTGTCGGGGTACAGACATTCCCTTCATGTAGTTTTAAATTAAGGTTGCTTCGGTCAGCTCATCTGCATCCCCTACCCTTCCGTCTCCCCCACCGCCCCTCTGCACCTCTTCCTGTGGTGGTGGTGGGGCGGGTCTGCTTACCTGGTGAGTTGGTGATGGAGGCGTGGAAGCAGCTGAAGTTGATGAGGGCATAGGAGCAGAGGAAGAAGTTGGAAATGATGGGGGCAATGGTGTTGAGCTCAGCTTCAAAAACCCAGGGAGAGAGGGGCAGCATGTTGGGCTCCACCACAGGAGCTGCCTGGCACCTAAGCCCGTAGGGTAGCCCCTGGCACAGCCAGGCCTTGCTACTCAGTCAGATCAACCTTCTCATCTGGGCAGCGAGTCCTTTCCCCACGAAGTTTAAAGGGTCAGTGTCTTAGGGAACCGAGGGAGCCAGCAAGATCACTCAGCTGGTAAAGACCCTTGCCGCCAAGATGGCCTGAGTTAGGGCTTTGGGACCCATGGGGTGGAAGGAGGGAACCCCTGTAAGTCATCTGCTGACCCTCACATATGGCCCCCTCCAAAGATAACAGATGTAATAAAAATCTGTAGAAGACAGTGGGGAAGGGCTCTGACAGGCTATACTTTTGGACCACAAATTAATATAAGGAATACATTTGGCAACGTGAGCCAGGACCCCTGGGGGTGATTCTCAGCCTTCCTCATGCTGCAACCCTTTAAGGCAGTTCCTCATGTTGTGGGGACTCCTAACATAACCTTCTTTCATCGCTACTTCGTAACTCTGATTTTGCTACAGCCAGTTGACTAGACTTCTCTATCCCCTAGGTGAGAAACTTCTTCATACAATGCGGGATCTAGTGTCTAGAATCTTCCCTTGGGTGACAGCAACCAGACTATTAGGGCAAATCTTATGAGTGGGTGCCTGATGGAGCCAGCCTGAGCAGCAGGGATCTGGCTGTAGTAGGAAGGTGCCCTTGAGTGGAGCCGCCACAGCTTCCACGACTCCACGTCTGCATAGGGAGCGGGGCAGCGGATGGCATGTCGTGGTGTCGTCACTTTTCCTCCTTCAATGAATTGCTTCCCTGGCTGAGTTAGCCAGGCTATGTTGGGTATGTGTATCTGTGGGGGTTGCGCCGTCACACACAGGCTGGCTTTCTGCCCATCTGTGGCTCACTCTTGCCCCCTACTCTACAGATGAGCAAACTGTGACTCAGAGAAATGACTTATCCACAGCCACACAGCAGGTACAGGGCAAAGCCAGCAGAAGCCAGTCAACCTAACTGTTATTTGGGCACTTTCTCCTGGGGTGAGTCCTGAGGCTGGGTGAGAGGCTGGCTGGCTTTGTCTAGTTTATGCATCTGCAAAGGGTTGAACTAGCCAGTTATATCCGCTAGGCTTATCTCCACAGCTATCCTGGGGGTGGGATGATGTCCCAGCTGTCAGGACACTGGAACGCAGAGGCAGGAAAGGCAGAGAAGGTCCCCTCTAACTGGATAATGGCCCACTACCTGGAGTGGCTTCGTGGCCACCCTCTCTGGAGGTGGGGAAGGATCACGAGGCTTTTCCAAAGGCCCTCCAGGCAGGCCTTCCCCCACTCAAGGGTTACTCAGTGGAGTTGGGATGTGACTTGGGGGTAAAACAAGTGTTCAGTATGTGCATGGCCCTAGTTAGTTCCATTCCCGCCACCAACCAAGTGCTATTCACAGAGTGCCCAGTGACACCAGGGTTAATAGGAGTGAATCCTAGGACCTTCCCAGAAGCCTGGGGAAGGAGCCTCTTACCAATGATTATGAAGGCCACCGCGATGATGTACGCCAGCAGGTAGCCACGCACAGGCTCCTTGTTCTTGCCATAGCCTTTGCCAAAGAAGCCAATCAGTGGGTACAGCTGGTCTTGGCAAAGGCACTGTGGACAGTATATCACACTCAAGCCCTTGCTGGGACCTGTCCCGTTCCCCTTCCCCGGGGCCACCTGTACTCCTGACATGGTGTGGCCCACTCTCTGACCTCTGCAGGCTTCTGTTTCTGGGAACCAGGGAAAATCCAGCCGTCTCCTCACCTGGAGACAGAGCTGTTTCCTTAAAGAGTTTGCTAGCCTGTCCCTTTCCCTCTACCCAGATCCATATCACATGACACCCTGAGGATTCACAGCAGCCTAGGAATCTGTCTACTAGGTGCTCGCCAGCAGTAACCCGCCACTCCCAGCGGCCTCTTTCTGCAACCTTACCTGGAAGACCTTGGCAGCAGAGACAAGACAGGCCAAGGCAGAGGACAGGGTGGCCCCAAAGATACCAGCTGTGATCAGGGGTGCAAAGGCGGACACCATGCTCATGGTCTGTGGGAATGGTAGGAGGCTGAGCTAGAAACCTTACTGTGTACCCCTTCCTTGGAGCAGCAGGCTATGGTCCTGACATCGAACACCCAGGGGGGCCCCGAGACCTACTCATAGGCAGGAGGTGGGGATGAGAGCCCTATGTGGGCAATAACTTCCCGCAGTCTCCTCTACCTCTCTAGCCTCGAGTGCCCTTCAGCCAGGCCCACCACTTGTACCTGGTAGTAGTTAATGAGGCCATAGCGGCAGCTGTGCCGCTGGGAGCAGTCGGTGAAGTTCCAGCCGTAGCCACAGGCCAGCCCTTCGCAGGTGCCTGGGCCCGGAGTCACTGTGTCATTCAGGTCCCCAGAGGCATCTCTCACCACACAGGAGCCTGAGAGGGAAATAGGTGTGTGTTGAGGGGTGTGTGTGTGTGTGCGCGCGCGCGCGTGTGCTTGTGTGTGTGTCTTTTCTTCCCTTCTGTCCTTTGCTTTACCCTCCTCTTCTATCCCCCAAGGCCTGCCACCTCTGCCAAGGAGGAGACACTGTGGACAGGCTGGCTCCTCCTTTATCCCGTGACAGTATTAATGGCAGTGGCAGGCATGGGTGTCTTTTGTTGTACCTGACGATCTGAGCAAGGCAGTTCTCTTGTTGTTGTTGCCCCCTCTAAACCCAGGCAGGAAGAGCTGCAGGGACCTGCCTAATGTCCTTAAAGCAGAGACCTGGCTCTTGAGCCTCTGGTGCCTATAGAAAAGTCCAAGTCCCCTGGCCACCTGTGCAGCTTGCCTCAAAGGTGAGTACTGGAAGCAAGAGCACCCGAGACTCGAGGAGGATGTTTCCCTGGTCTGGCTTCCCTCACCATGAAGGCGCTCTGTCACTGTAGAGGGGACAGATGCCGCAGGACCAGGGCTCAAGGGCCTCGCTGCCTAGCTCCCTCTGTTAGAAGCCAGCCCCACACAGCAGCCCCCTTCAGCCTTACTACAGAGCAGATCCTCTCCTCTCTTTCCCACCATCTGTGCTTTGCCGGCTACTCACCAATAGTAGCCGAGATGGCGAGGTAGGAGATGGTGGTCCAGAAAATGGCCATGAGTGTTCCCTTGGGGATGGCTACCGCAGGGTCCTGTGGGAAGGCATGGTATTGTCAGGCAGCCTGGGGCATTCCTTTGGGCCTCGGTGCCTTGGCAGAAGCCGGGGTGGGCAACAGACCCTAAGCTTGGACCCCCAGAACCTGTCCAGTCCTGGAAGAAGGCCCATGACTGAGGACCAACAAGAGGGCCATCACCCTGTGGTCCCAGGGTTGAAATGGATGAAGATGTGAAACCTCATTGGCTCAATATCCAACCCACAGGGGACCCTTGGCACGGCTCGCTGTGGGTAGCAGGGAGACCCATGCCTGGCTCTCCACCTCAGGTTTATCTGTGAGCAGTGGCAGCAGCCACCCACGGCTGGAAACTGATGAATCATTCGGGCAGCCCCGGACCCTGTTCACCTCACTGAGTCACGGGAAATCACCACTAGCTGATTAATGTGTCTGGCTCTCCAGCAATAAGGAGACAGAAGACATGCCCCAAACATTCTCCTGCTCCAAGAAAGAGATTTCTCCCAATAATAATGACACTCCTTACCCCTCACCCCCACCCCATCCACCCACACACAGGTCATAGCCTCCTCCTAGGCACTTTCTCCAACAGAACTTCCTGAGACGGCCTATGCGATCCCACCTATGCGATCCCACCCAGCTAGTGAGGAACCGCAGGGAGCAGGGTGTGAGGAGGGCGCCAACCTCTGGAGCCCCCCTGCAGTGCTGACCCACACTCCTACAGCCTCAGACTCCAGGACCTGGAACCTGAGCAGGGGCACAGGCTACTTTTCTACAGTTTCCTGTGGAGAGGCAATAACTGCTCCCCTCGGGAGACACAGACCCCAACCCAGGGGGAAGGCCACATCTGCCATGAACTAATTGTCTGCAAACTTCCCCATGCTCTGTGGGCCCAGTAGATAGGTAGCAATGTGGAAAGGAGACGCAGGCCAAAGGACAGAGGATATAACAAAGGCACCACCCCACCACGATCTGAGAGACATGCTGGCCCTGATACTGAATAATGGGGACGGAGGCTTGGAGACAGTGACAGTTAATGGGGCTTTAGAGGATTCAGGCTGTCTAAATACAGACCAGGCCTAAGGATGACCTGCGGGTAGGTACCCCTGAGGGTAAGTACTTCCGAGGGTGTTCTCTTGAGAACAGTGTGATAAGCAAGCACTTTGGTCCCCTGGCCTCACTGGGAGATCCAGGCCTCGCCAGCTGGGCAGGCTGCTTTCTATGTTGTCTCCAGGAACAACTGGGCTTACTTGCTCTTGGTTTTGGTTTGGTTTTCGGCCTGGCTGGCTCTGAACTCATTGTGTAGGCAAGAATAATCTTCAATTTTCCTGATCCTCCTGCCTCAGCTTTAGGAAGGCTGGGATTCTGGGCCTGAGCCACCATGCCTCACTTGCCCAGTTCTTAGTTCTGTGAGAAGCATGACTAGGGGAACACCTCCAAGGAGAAGGAGACCAAGGTCAGAGGGAGCTCTGAGTTGAACACGATGCCAGGCATGTCACTGGCTCCCTGGCTGGCACAGCACCATCTCATTGGTTTCTACAGGCAAAAGCCCTCCCATTGTCGCAATGCACAGCTCTTTGCTCTGCCGCTTTGAGTTCACTTCGCCACCATTCAGTCAACAAACACACTGAATGCCTAGCTTGTGTCTGACTCTAAGCAGGAAATGGAGACGGACACTGGCTGACACCTTACACTGGGAACACACCGTGCAGGATGGAAGGCCTGGGAAAGCTGTTGCAGGAGAGATTGCAAGGGGCACAGAACTTTGCAGAGTAACAAGAACAGGACATACTAGGTCTCTTAGTTAAAGGCCTGTCATGAGTAAATTAGTCTTCCGGGCAGAGCTGGGGTCCTGGGAATGATGGCAGGGTTCAGGGATGCATGTCCTCCTGTGGTGCCGGACAGTAAGGATGGGGCTACGCTCACCTTAAGGTCCCCGGAGATATTGGCTCCTGCCAGAATGCCCGTGGCTGAAGGGAAGAAGATGGAGAACATCCCAAAGAAGCTGCCATCAATGCCTCTCCAGTCAGGCACTAAGTTCTGAACAAAAATGTCCCCTGGAAAACCAATGTCCAAGTCAGAGCCACCCAGAGGGTTTGATCACCTAGCTGGGCCCTGTTGAACCAGAAATCGGCTCCCCAAAGCCTCTGGCCCTGGGAGAAGAAGATCTCAGCCCCTCGCATCCATTTAATGAGTCAGATGCACAGACCAACTGTCCCCACCCACAGAACCACTGTCAGGGCTCCTGACCTCACATACCGTGATAGCTGTAGAAGCCTTTGGAGGCCTTGTCTTCAGATGCTGGGATCAGTGTCCCCACCAGATAGTTGGCAAAGGAGACCATGATGACAAGAAAGAATAGCACCTGGGCCTGGAGCAAAGGACACCGAAGGTCAGATGCTCCGGCCTTCAGGGAACTGCCACGGTCCCTCATTCTGACCACAAAACTATTTCTTCATCTCAGTCAGACAGTGAGGCGTCAGGGACATGGCAGTGAGCAGGATGGTCTGAGATTAGAAACAGGCTGTGGTGGGATCAGGCTGGCGGCCTGGAGCAGCATCTCCCAGCCGCAGACACTCAGAAGGGTGAGTTAACCACAGAACCACCTGAGCCGGGAGGCCAGTAAGCAACACGGAGAAGAGAAACATCAGGCTCACACCCCTCCCAGATGGAAGGCTCCCTTCTGGTCCAGCCGGCTGGCTGTAACCCAGCAATTCTTCTCATGTACGAAACCGCTGACATTTGGCTGGATACGTGGACACAGGAGTTAGCAGGATCGAAGAGCACATTTTCCTGCCTCCCTTGCAGCCATGTACAGCTACAAGATCAGGTTACGGCCAATGGGGTGTGAGCAGGAGTGATATGTTCAACTTCTGACTTGAGCCTAAAAGTATGGGGTAGGGAATCCCTCCTTTCCTTTTGCCCTTCCCCTTTCCCTCTCCCTGGATCACAGACATGATGGTGGTAGCCAGTGTGGACCAGGAGACTAAGGGCCACACACAGGGATGGAGAGGTCACAGGATGGAAGGAATCCGCATGCCTCTCCCCACCGCTGTGGAAACCAGCATGCTGGCCCTATGCCACACTCTTTGGACGGTTACAGGAGACAGAACAGGGTCTGTCTCAGGGTCTATTTGTCCTAGCAGCAACACTGCAGTCCTAGCGGATACACTAAGAAGGGGCAAAGCCAGACCCAGACCCACCCTCTCATGCCCATCACCTCCTCCTCACCTTGGACTCCCACTCCATCCCAGCCAGAGAGATGGCCAGCAGCACGGTGACAGTGACCACGCCGATGATACGGATGTCGTTGATGGGGTCTACAATGAGTGTGCCGTACTCCTGGGGGGAGCAGGCGAGCTGTCTGTCCTGTCTTCACCGGTACTCCTTCAGCCCCCGCCCCGCTTTACTTAGGGCATACCATTAGATGATATTCCCCACCCCAAGGGCTACCGCATGGGCCTGGACAACATGGATCCTAAAAGGGGTCTTATGGGCATGGTCTGTAGTTAATGAGAATTTTATTGTCACCCGAAGTGACCAGACATAACTTTGGTCAATGGTAGGTAGGATTAGGCAGGAGAAGGAAGGCCTGGTCCAGTGTGAGAAACAGTATAGGGAAGCTCCCTCTGCCCCAGGCCCGGCCCCTCACCTGAAGCAGGTCCCGGACGGTCTCCGCAAAGCCCACAGTATGCATGGCCGTACCCACAGCATTGGCAAAGGCGAAGATGAGGCCAATGGAGCCCCCCAGCTCTGGGCCCAGACTCCGGGAGATAAGGAAGTAGGTGCCACCTAGCAGGGTCAGAGCAGGGAGCCAGAGAAAGAACAGTGTGCTGCAAGGGGTGGGCAGGACCAAGGGCCACAGGGCAGGCAACTGAGACCATCTTGAGAAGGAGAGAGCTCCCACAAGGTCCCATCTGGAGCCATATGGGCATTATGGGGTACACCCGGGGTGAGGAGGCAGCCCAGAGATCCAGAGCAAAAGCAAGCATCCAGGTGAAGATTACTCCGGGGAGAGCGCACCTGACTTGACCTTGCCATTGGTGGAGATGGCCGAGATGGAAAGGCCTGTGATGGATGTCACCATGACCGACAGCAGGATGATGAGCCAGGTGAGCACTGTGGGGGAGAATGCGAACACCCCAAAACTCAACACATTTCTCAGGTGAGACTCCATGGAGAAACCCGAGTCAGCCCCCCAGGTTCCCATGTGACCTGAGTCCCTTTCCTTCTCTGAGCCTCAGTTCTGAGCCTGAGAAACAATGGGTCTCAGCCAGACCTGTCACCCCAGCATTTGGAGGTAGAGAGTTCAAGGCCAGCCTGGGCAATACAGAGAAAGACCCTGTGTCAAAACAGAAACAAGGAGCTGTGCCTGGCGATACATCTTTAATCCCAGCACTCAGGAGGCAGAAGCAGGCAGTTCTCTGGGAAATCTAGGCCAGCCTGGTCTATAGAGAGAGTTCTAGAACAACCAAGTTTACATAGAGAGACCCTGCTTCAAACAACAACCCCCTTACAAAAACACCAAAATCAAAGCCAGTAATAACACCTGGATGTGGAGGCGCACACCTTTAATCCTAGCTCTCAGGAGGCAGAGGCAGGAGGATCTCTGTGAGTTTGAGGCCAGCCTGGTCCACAGAGCAAGTTCTAGGACAGCTAGGGGTACACAGAGAAACCTTGTCTCAGAAAACAAACAAACAAAATAGTAATAAGGACTGGGATGTAGCTAGGTTGGGAGTCCTGGGTTCAAGTCCTAGCACCACGTAACCCAGGTCTGATGGCACACACTTTTAATCCTAGTCCTTGGGATGCGACAGCTAAAAATCTAAGGTTCTCCTTAGTTACATTCTGAGTTTGAGACCTGGGGTATACATGATTTCTGTCTCAAAATGAAAACCAAGAGCTATGGCAGCTGGGAAATGGTAGCTAAGCGCTCAGTAAGTATAAACCCTCCACAACCCACACAAAAGTCCTAGGTATGGTGGCATGTGTCTGTGAGCCAAATATTGGGAGGAATCCTGGGCTTATCGACCAGTCTACCTAGTTAGTGGGGTCCGCACCAATGAAAGACCCGTCCCGAAGGAGGGGGGTGGTTCCTGAGGTGGATACCTGAGGTTATTCTCTGGCACCTGCACATTCAAATACAAACATGTGTGTGAGTGTGTGTGTGTGTGTGTGCGCGCACGCTCACTTCCCCAGATGAAGTTAAAGCGGGTCTATCTACCTCCTGAGCTAAGTGGGAAGTTCATGTGCCAATGTGTGAATAATGTCCAGGCATGGAAGGGAAGGTATCCACCTCTGTCAACAAAATCAAAGCAAAATAGTTGCCAGCACCTTCAGGTAGCAAAGGCCATTCTACTGAGCCTTGTACACTCACAATGGCTCTATAAGGCAGGTACAATCATCAGACCCACTTTCTTCAGGAGAGTGTTTGGAACCTCCACAAGGCTACCTAGCTCTGTGCCGGGCTCAGCATCTTCACCCGGGTCTTCTAGAATCCCATTTCCCAGCACAAATACTCTGAGACAGGCATTGGCTCAGTGGGATTGAGAGACTCACCAAGGAGCCCTGAAACTGGTGACTCTACAGCCAACGGTCCCTCCAGCCCCACCCTTCTCTGCGGCTGATGCCATCTGAGAGTGTGCTGGAAAGGAGAAGGTCTAGCCCCGCTGCCTCTACAACCCCAGGGGCCTTGGCCGGGAACTCAAGCACTTTCCCTCCTCCCCCAGGAGGCGTCACTCACCAATGCCCGCCTGCGCAGTGATCCATGGGAGCCGCAGGTAGAGGATCACACCCCAGATGTTGAGCATGCATCGGATCTGGGAGGGGGTGAGGTGACAAGTTTCCTGAGATGCCCAAGGTCAAACCCTCAAGGGCTTGTTCACAGGCCTGGGGACACCTGATGCATCTGATGCTTTCCGTACCCTGGGATCAGGCTGCCTGGCTTGGGAGGGGGAGAGGAGGACCGGTTTACATCCCACCTCCTCCCCTCCCTGACTTGGAGGCCTTGAATGGGCTTCAGCCTTCCCATCATTCACCCTGTTCCAAGCCCAAGACCCTGTGTCTGCCAGGTCCTAGCCATTGCCTTGGGCAGCTATCGGGCCAGGGCATGGTATACTGGAAGTGTTGGCACAACGACCCACATGGAGTAGAAATCCAAGCCCAGATTGTTCCCATATTGAAGACATAGCTCGAGGTCATCACTGGGGCTGAAATTCCGACTGGGAGGGCCTGCTGTGGCCTTTGGCTCTGCCAAGTACTAGGGCCAGGTAGGGGCATGTGTCCTTCACTCATGAGGTTTCTGGGGTTCTTGTCTGCTGAGATGAAAACCAAGATGAACCTGGTTCTGGACAACACAGATAAGGACATGCTCCAACCCTGTCTGTGAACCCCCAGGGGTGAATGAAAGCTCTGGTTCTGAGAGAGAAATGGTCACAGTGGGTTTGCGGAATTAGGATCAGAAGCTTGCCTCCTGCCTGCCAGGGCAGGGCTGACGCTTTCTCCTACAGTTCATCCCATCACCTCTATAGAACGCTATAGAGTCTTTCAAAGTCAAGGTCACTTGATTCTTTACAGTCCAAAGGCTTAATTATGCTCCAAGCGGTAGCAGGAAACACGCCTCCATTAGGATGCACTCTGGGGTGTGTGCCGGGGCGGTCATGGGTTGTGGAGGGGATTGTAGATGTGTTAGTGCTGCCCTCTGGTGGCTCTATGGGGGAATTTCTTCTAATTACTCCCTAGCAGGCATTGATCCAAGAATTTTCATAGCTATAAACCAATTTAATGCTCAATTTTACTGATGAGGAAACTGAGGCAGGGAGTGGCTAGGAAGATTTTCTAAGGCTATGAGATTAGTGAGTATCTAAGCAGAGATCTTCCTAGGGTTGGATCTTGGCCAAGAGCACACAAGAAGCTTGGGAAGCCTTCATCAAGTACAACTGGAGGTCACTGTGTTTCTTCTCTCAGTCCCTAGTCCTGGCAGTGTCCCCCTAAACAGACTGTGGATGCTTCCTCTCCTCACTTTTGCCCCTGGGATGTCATCGCCACCATCATCATATAAGGAAACAGAGGGCCAAACTGAGCCCAAGACCTAACCTGCCCACGAGGATCTGAGAATCAAAGCTGAGGCTGAATGGGGCTCTACCCCCACCCTTTCTTGGCATCAAGTTCCAGTCCACACCCACTCACCATCACCCCCTTGACCCAGCCGAAGCGCACAGGCTCCCCAGGGCTTTTCTCATTGCTGGTGCCTGCTTCGTCCTCCGCAAGTCCATCAGTCAGTTCCCGGCCTGGCCGTCCATCAAAGGCCAGGGCATGCAGGTGGCTGCCCTCCTGCTAGGGAAGACCAGCAGAAGTCAGGAAATGGGAGTTGGGGGCTGAGTGTCTGTGTTCAGCCCTACCTGCCCCACTTTGCCACACAGGAAGCCCCTGGACAGCTTCCTAGAGGAAGCCCCTGGACAGCTTCCTAGACACAATGTGCTTGAAACTTGGAAAGACACCAAGGAGAGCTAGTCAGCCTTCAGAGGGCTCCTCCCCCTCTAGGGCCGAGGGCTGGGAACTGACAAGCTCTCAGTATGAGAAGGGAGACAGATTATTTGACCCTTGGGAGGTGAAGCGGTTTGACTCAGGTCACACTCTGGGTCTCTGGTACAGATGGACTTGAACCCAGGCCGCTACCCCAGCACGACAGGTCTTCTGGTTTGTACTCCTGGGACTGCAGCCCACGCTGGGGCCTTCTGCCCTTTCTTCCCAGCACCTCATCTCAGCATCCCTGTTTCAATGGGGGTCTTGTTCGGCCCTTCCGGAGGGCTGTTCGGAGGCAGAGAGGAGGACTGGGAGTTAGGCGAGTCCCTGCTCCTGAGCCAAGAGTAATTCTGTCCACTGTCAATGAGGAAGTGAGGTCACAGGGTTTGGGTTGTCCAGCTTCCCAGAGAGCAGAGCCAGCAGGCTGACATCTGAGCGGGCCTACTATGCTCCCCTCTCACCGTCTCTCCCAGGGGCGTGCAACTGCACTTGCATGAGCAGCCACGCCATCTTTGGGTCACCAGTGCCTGGGCCATGAGGATTATGTGTGCTCTGAGCTTCATGACACTGGCCGTCCACTAGTTCATTTGAATATCTTGATCCTGGAGGAAGATTCCTAGCCGTCTTCCCCACACAGATGACAGAACATGTTGGGTGATCAGACCAGAGTCACACAGCTGGCAAGCGGCCAGTCTCCCAACTCGTACTTACCTTGAGGAACGAATGCAGGTCAGCCAGGGTGGGCCGCACCTTCCGGGGCTCGCCCGGCAGAGCACTGTTAGCGTAGTGTTCATAGGCAGGCACCACGTCGATAGTGTTGTAACCAAAGGTGCGCATGTACAGGGTGCTGCCGTGTGTCAGGTGGCTGGGGTGGCTGCTGTCACCGGCGGCCGGTGGGGGCTCGTCGGCCCCCAGCAGGGTGCTGATGGTGAAGCGCCCACTGCACAGAGCATCTCCTGGCATCTCTGTCGCAGGTAGCTCCGCCATGACGACTCTGGGTATCAAGGGTGGGCAAGGACACCAAGGGTGGCTTTATAGGCTGGGCAGAAGGCGGGAGCTTGTCCCAGACTGCCCATGGCTGGTGAGCAGGGTCTCTGCCACAGGTGGGAGGCGGAGCAGAGCCAACTGCTGTCCTGCCCCCATTTATTTGATCATTGACACGGGGGAGGGGTACTTAGGAGTAGGAGGGCTGGGCTAGCTGCGTCCAGAGGCAGCTCTTCTGAGTCTAGGGTAATAGAGGGTCTGCAGCTAGGCCCCAGGAAGCAGCAGTCAGGAGAAAGGACCCGGAGAAGGCCTGTTACAAGTGCCCGCATTACAGTCCTCTCACTGGGGTCACAGGGTATCTCTTCCCTTTTATTTACTAGTTTGAGTGAATGTCATTTCAGGACATGCATATTAAAAGGAAGTCTATCTTCTGATCTCTGTCTCTCGGTGTCTTTCCTGATACATCTCAATATATACAAGCCATTATGATTATGGCTTACAGGAGCATGTGAGTGGCCTCAGACCAGACCTGCAGTCACTTCTTGGCCGACAAACCCTGAGGGCTTGGTGCTAGCCTCCACTCTCCAGGGCTGACACAGTGTCATGCCTGAGCTGCACATCCACAGGCTTGGCCTACAGAGTTGTGGTTCACAGAGCCCAACTGTGCCTTCCCTCCCTGGAGCCACAGAACGCTCTCATGGAGCAGACGGCTGGTCACTGAAGGGACCCTGGGTTTTGAAACATGAATTAGTAGATGCTTGATGTGTTCTACAGAAACAACGGCCATGTGGCTGCGAGGGCTCTCAGAGTCGGTTCCTACACTGACAGTCCCACCCATGCTGTCTTTTCCCCCAAGAGGCTGGGTGTTTAAGGACCGACAGAGGTGAGGCCTAAAAGTCTGGCATCCTGCCCTGCCTCAGGGTTTCCCTGGATCATCTGAAGCTTAGGGTCTACACTACAGCCTGCTTCCCTCTGCTCTCCCAGACAGGCCCTGGACGTTCATTTCGCAGTCTGCTTCTAGGGTGAGGCAACCCAGCCCCTTTCAAGAACTCAAGAAGACTGTGCATGTGCACTGCCGCTTTATTCACAATAGCGAAGAATTGAAATCAATAAATACATGAATAACACAAAGTTATACGTATGCATAACTTGTGGGTGTGCACACGCGTGCACACAAATGCTACTCAGCTCTAAAGAGAAAGACGAAGTTAAAAGTTTTTCAGGAAGAGGGATGGTCTTAGAATGAGTATTAGGTGAGATCCACAATCTCAGAAAGAAACAACACATTTCCCATGTGGCATCTAGACAAAAATAAATGTCCGTGTATGGACAGAAGTACCTGTGGGTACAGTATAGCAGGAAGAACGAACAAGAAAAGCTACATATTGATGAGGAAGGACTGAATGCAGGAAATGACACAAGATATGAAATGGGGGAAAGCTAATGTTTTTCTCCTTCTAACCCTGCCACAGAGGTTTTTGGTTTGGGTAGTGAATAAGTGCAAGAAAATATATATTCGATACTAAAAGTGTAAAATACAATGTGAAGTTTCCCAGCTTCATTTCTGTGTAGTTCATTACGCTGCATCAACTTCTGATATGGTAAATTTTGGTGTGCAATGCTTCTTATTTATTTGCAAGATTTTGGTGTTTTGGAACAGGGTTTCACTGGGTAGTCCTGGTTGTCCTGGAACTCACTTTGTAGACCAGGCTGGCCCTGAACTCAAAAAGATCTGCCTGCTTCTGACTCCCAAGAGGTACAAGCTGGGATTAGAGGCTTGTACCTCCACCATTTGGTTGCAAGATTTTTTTAGAATAAAGTTTATAAAATAAAACATTAAAACTAAGATTGGAGACCTCTTGTCACCGTCCAACAGGCCCTTGCGAGTGTCACCCCAACCCCATGCTGTGTGGCGGTGGGAGCCAGGGACTTGGAGAAGCCATGCTTCTGCTCATAGCAGGGCAGGGTTGACAGAAAGTGACACCTAGAAACAGCCCAGCCCATCTATGAGGTGAGCTGACCGCTATAGGAGTGGGCCCTGGAGAAGGGACAAGGTGTGGACAGCCAGGGAGGGCTCCTTGGAGGAGGCCTTTTAACTGCCTTGTTCCTCCTGAAGGCCTGGGATGAGCTGAAGGCCAGAAGGCTGCTGTCTACTCACGCACTGGGGCTCTGCTTAGGCCCAGCTCAGGCTCCAGTATCTTCCAGAGGAAACTGGAGGGAGAGAGGAAGGGAGGCATTCCCACTCCCTCCCACTGGGCCCTGCCTCTCAGAGCCTATCCATGGCCCTAAGAGGTCCTGCCCAAGGCATCCAGACCTGGGACCTCCAAGAGGAAGTAAGGACTACCCGGTGGATGCTTTCAGGAGGCCCCGCTGGCCCCTGCTTCTCTGGGCCAGAGGGACCAGAGGGACCAGGACAAGCATGTCCAGCTGGAGGGCCAGCAGAGACTGCTGAGGCCAGTTAGAGCCCAATGAGCTTGGAAAGGTTTTCAGACCTCAGTGCTCTTATTTGTGGATGGGCATGTCTTCCCTCCAATTTCTTGGAATGGAAGCCACAAAGCGACCTTGCCCTATTGTTCAGACTACCGCAGGCAACCGGAATAATGGACAGGTGCCCAATAAATGCCTGTTGGTTGTACAGTCCATGAACCAACAGTCATGAAGGTGACTAGTACCAAGGAGGGCTAACCCAGGAGGACAAATCCTGACTGGCAGGATTACCCTTGAGAGGGGCATACAAGGGCGCTTTGGGATTCCCACAGCACAGATCGTGCCTCTACTGGGCATTAGCAGTGAGGAGAGAAAAACATACAAAGGTGGACATATGTGTCCCTTTTCCCTGCCGGCTCCCAGCAGGGTTAAAGGTTTGAAGTAAGGATTCAGGCCAAGGCCCCTCCAGGTCCATTTTCTACCTTCTTGGCAGGAGGTGAGATTGTGAAGCCTCCCCCACCTCCTCCCAACAGGTCCGCTGCCCTTGAGGCAGATCTTATCCTCTGGTTTTAAACTTCCAGCTACCTGGCAAAAATCACAGCCACCCAACATCCCCACATCGTTCTAACACTGCGTGCCCTGGCAGCTGTGGAAAATATCTGATAAAGATCTTGGGGCAGAAAGGGCCAGGGCTAGTTTCCAGCCAGGGTAAGAGGCTGTGAAATTGCGGAGTGACCTTGGCTTATCCTTTCTTCCTTTCTCCAAAGCACCTGTGTTAGCTGGAAGGGGTGTGAGGCTGTTTCCAGACCTTCTGCCCCAGCGCTCTCTCTGGAGTAGGCAAGGTTTGTGGCTGCTGGGATGCAGTCCATCTGATAAACCTGGGATGGGTTCCTCCTGATAGGGAGATAGCACTGGGCCACAGGGTCTCTCCCCTCCTGTATTCAGCTTCTGAGAGGACACAGGACCCCCTACTCTGAGCACAGATTTGGGATTGGGCCTTAAAGAGTTTCCATTCTGTTTGCTTTTGGGGCGCTTTTAAGCAAGTTTCCCCACTGGGTGAGCCTTAGCTACTGCAGCTGCCGCAAGGCACCTGTGCCAGGGTCAGCCAGATCCCTCCTGCCTAGCCTCAGCCTGGCTCTCAGGGGGAACGGGGCAGCCAAGGAGCAGAGAGACTCAAGGAATCAGAAAAAAAAATCCTCACTGCAGGGGCTGAGCCACGAGGACAGGAGGGCAGGCTGCAGACCCCCAACTCAGGCCTGTTATCTCCAGGGCCACAGAGGGCCACCAGCAGAAGAGGGGATCCCACAGGAGATGGGAGCGGAGAGGAAAAGTGGGTAGGAAAGGGGAAGGAGGTTGATGGGTTGGACGAACAGGGAAGCGATGGCGGGAATCCAGACTGTAGGGGCTGTTTCTCCATTCCACCACATTTATTAGATAACTACCAAATACTATTTTCTGGCTGAGCAAGCGCCCCTTCCCCAAACAAGACAAAGCCCTGCCCTCTGGGGGCTCACATTCTAGAGAGAGACAGATAATAAACAAACGAACAATTGTCAGAATACACCTGGTGAAGAAAGTGCTATGCAGAAAATAAAGCTTTTTTTTAGGTCTCTGAGGATGAAACCCTCAAGCTTGGCCACGCATACGTGAGCAGGATCTGCAAGAGGTGGGGAGTCGGGCAGGAAGAGAGCAAAGGCCCCAGAGTGCAAAGTGAGGCTTGGGCTTCCAACAGAGCAGAGAGGTCTGGGTGTTAGGACTGAGCAGACTAGGTGTGTCCCTGGAAGAGGGAACTCGGGCCTCAAAGACCATCTTACAAGTTATAACTTATTATATGATGATGGTCAGATTTGGACTTGCCATAGATCACATTGGTGGTTGTGTGAAGAACGGACTAAGGGAAACCAGACAGGGGTTTCTTCAATATGCAGTGATTGGTGGCCAGGCCTGGAAGGAACTTTAGGGTGGTAAGATGATAGGTGTCCTGCAGACAGAGATGGCAGCATTAGCATCTCTGTGGAGTTGTATGAGGCCAGGTTTGGTTTTTTTGGGGGAGTGGGGCAGGCAGTGATGGGAGCACTCCATGGGAGAATATGTTCCTGGGTAGGGTGCCAGGATAAGGAGCTGATTTTGTTCTGGGTGTCTTGGTGCCAGGGGCAGTTGTATGGTGCGTATCAAATCTAAAGGAGGGAGCCTGGAGAGGGCAAGCGGGTGCCTTGGTATGGTTAGACAACAACGGGGGAGCAGCTCAATTCTGAGCCACAGGCCCACCTGGTTCCCTCCTGCTGCCCGTGGATTAGAGCCGCTCGGAAATGCTGAGGTCACACTCAGAGCCTCCGTGGGCTTGGCAGAGTAGGGAGAGGGCAGACACTGGCATTTGTCTAAAGCTGCTCAGGTGACGATGAGGAGCTGTATAACCGAGATGCCATTGACTGTTGAACATCACCTTTCACAGTCAGTTACCCCAAGCTACCCTGTCCCCAAGTTCCTGTGTCCTGTGGTCCCGCGAGGCTTTCCTGGAGAGGATGGGTAGGATGCAACCCTGGTGTCGTGAAATAGCCGGGTAAGAGGATGCGCTG